ATCCACCCCCATCCACCCCCATCTACTCTCACACGTCCTCCCCACCTTGTATCCCGGCCCCCCCAGGTACGGCATCGGCACAGACAGGGAGGAGGACTCCAAGGTGGACAGGGCCCTGGAGGAGGACGACAAGAAGAGAATGGAGGCAGCGTCGTGGACCTTTGACGGCCAGGTGCGGTTCCGTCCGGGCAAATGGCACCTGGGCTCAATGCTGCCGCGCCCCGCTGCTGCCGCGTGGCGCCGCGCGGCATGCCGCGCCGCCGCTTTGCTTTGCTTTGCTGGCGGCGCGCGGCCGCGAGCGTGCGCGCAAGCGTGTGAGTCCCGGAGACTAGGCCCGGCAGGCGCTTTGCGGGGCGCTGGGAGGCGCTCGCCTCCCCTGTGCGCCTGGCAGGAGGGTAGAAGGCTGTATGGGCGGGTGTCCCTGTCTGCCGCTTCAGCTCCCGCAACCCGGTGGCATCGTCCCCACCTCGCCTGGCTGCCCCCAGGTGCGGCGGTTCAACTGCATCGTGGGGCGCCGCAAGAAGAAGAAGGACTTTGAGTACGAGGTGCAGTGGCAGGTGAGCGCAGGAGGGGCTGCATTTTTCCGTGGGCGGGTGGAGTGCGGGTGGGTGTGGGGAGGGGGTGATGGGGGGCAATGAGGCCGCTAACGCGTCCGTTGGCAGGGAAGAACCCCTGATATTCTTGAGCCGTATCCCTTGACGCACGACCGTGCGGGCACAAGCGCCTTTCGCGCTGCCTGGTGACACGGTTGCACATCCACGGCCCTGGCCGCCGGCTTCGCTGCCCTTACAGCCGAAACGGCGCCCCCGACCGCGGCCGCAAATCGCCCCTCGTGCCCCCTCTCATCCCCTTGGCCGCCCCTGCTTAAAACCCCGCTTGAACCGTGCTTCAACCCCCAGGGCCTGACGTCCATCAAGTTCAACCGCTGGATCCCGCGCGCCGAGCTGGTGGAGAAGGGCTTCCAGAAAAAGGTGAGGCGCTGCCTCATTCAGCCTGATTTTCGTTACTCAACATGCATATAAGTTGCATTGTATGATCATCGTGTGTTGATTCATGTCTCTGCGTACCCAGCCGGCCGACGGACGCCAGGCCAGGGCGCCGCCCGCCCTTCCTCGCTCCGGCCGGCCCCGCCAGGCGCCAGTTTGTGCGCTGAGTGCGGTGAAACTTGAAACCATGGGGCCGCCCGAGGCCTGCGGCCCCGCGTGCGCCCGCCGCCGACCGGCCAAACTCCCGGTCAAACGCCCCGCAGGTCAACGAGTTTGACCAGAAGAAGGCGGCCGCGGCGCTGGGTAGCGACAGCCGCCCCCTGACGCGCGCCAACGTGGAGAAGTTCCTGGGGGACTTCGGGCTCGACCCCGAGTTCGCCTGCCACTCAAACATCCGCGGCCTGTCAGGTGCGCGCCTCGACGCCAACCAGCGCCGCTAACCCCGCCCCGCCCTGCGTGAGCCCGCGCGCATGGTTCGCTGCGTCGCTCGGACGCTTGCCTTTGGCCTCCCTGAGCTTCTTGTCGTCGTTTCTCGGCCGGCGTCAAGCGGCACGCTCTCAGCACTCGCACTCGGCAGTCTCACCACGCACGCCCTCACCCGCTCGCCCCCGCGCTGCCTGCCCGGCTTCCCTGTCGCCCCCAGGCGGCCAAAAGGTGAAGCTGGTGCTGGCCGCCGCCATGTGGAACAGCCCCCACTTGCTGATCATGGACGAGCCCACCAACTACCTCGACAGGTGGGGCGCAGCTGTTTGACCGTGGTCAATCATCCGCGGCCGCGCGCGTGGTGGTGGTTGGGGGGGGGGGATGTAGAGGGGTCCGCTGTTTCACCTGGCCTGAGGCCGGCTGGAGGCCGGGCTTGATAGGCGAGCCGCACGTCCAGACCTGGACGGCCCAACCAACCACCCGCTGACCAATCCGTCTGCTCTGGTCCCCTGTCTAATAATGCCAGGGAGTCGTTGGGCGCGCTGGCCACGGCCATCAAGGAGTTTGACGGCGGCGTTGTGCTCATCAGCCACAAGTGAGGCGCGGCGCCGCGACACACACGGCCCCCCCCTAAACACAAACACACCGGCCTCCCGCAGCGCCCCCGCCAGGCCGCGCGCGCCTGCGCTTTGGAGCCCCCGCAT